TTCCCTCAAACCTATTCCCATTATGATTCAAATTATGTCATGAGGGACAACTAAAATACCAAATGCACTGACAGGAAATACATGTTTACAAACAAGCTACTATTTTTCTGGGTCAGTTTGATCTGCACCAGCATAAAAACAAGGCCCAAAGTGGTAGAAATCCATCAGGTGCCATGCCCATATGTATTCACTGTTTTTAGCTGCAGGCCACTAACTTTCAGCAATAAACTGTGAATCCTTTGAGTCATTATCTTTGCATATTGCCTCCAGATGATGCCCAAGTTCTCACCACAAGACAGAGGTTCAAGAGGTTTAAAAAAATGGCGTAGTCTTAAGTTTATTTTATCCCATATTAATGTTTTTACATTAAATATTCTCAATTCTTGACATCAAACAAAATAAAGCAACCAATCAGATCACCTATTCTTTTTTAAAGCCAGGCCACAATGCTTAAATGTTGTTTTATTTGACAAAATGGCTCATTCTAATCACTGATATAGAACCTATACTGCGCATGAAAGAGTGTGACTGTGAACATAGAAAACTAGGAAGAATCTCTGGGCTCCAGATTGCCTGGTGTCATTCACACATGGTCTGGTGATGGTGACTCACCAGATTTGGTTATTTTCAGCATGGGAAAAAAAAAAAATCTGGAAGGCATTCACTCTGAAACCATACAGTAGACCATCTTTTCTAAGGATGAAACAAATGTTATGAATTGTGTGTGTATGTGTCATCCACACGTGTGCTTCTTCGCATGTGCATGTGTGTTTGTGTGTATGTGTGCATCTCCCTGTGTGCATTTTAGATGTTCAGCTTTTGAGCAGATGATTCCACCATGGACAGGGTGTGTATGTATAATTGTGTTAAAGAGTGGAAATCAAATATGCTAGATTAAATGACAAAACAAACAGATGTGCGTCTCCCTGTAATGTGAGAAAACAAGAATGAGGTAGACAGATCTAATAAAGCAGGCAGTATGGTGGCAATAAGCTGTGTTAAGTAAGCTTGATTCCATCTATTAACACTGTTTACCATCTCTTTTATTACCCTAAGATGTATTGCACCCCTTAGCAAAAGCTGTGCTAAATCAAATACGATTTAAATACATTTGCTGCTAAATCAAATAAGATTTAAATGCATTTGCTTGTGTTCATTCAGAGCTATTTTTATGCTGATGATTCTCTTGAAATCAAAGTTGTCACAAATGTGTGTAGGGCGTTCTATGAAAATGTGTCACAATGTATGTTTTCCTCAATGTTTTTATACTCGTGTGTATGCGTGGATCGATGGTTCCATGTACGGCCAAGTCATAAGGTGACAGAGTGTGTTAAGGTTTTACAGCAATCTGCTCACCGATGGAGTACTGGTTGGATTCCAAGGGCCTGGAGTACATCAAACATATGGCAAAACAGCTGCTGCTGTACGAAAGATAAGCTAAACTCTCCATCATGCTATGTGACAGCACGGAGAGCCGCGCTGCACACATCGATCTCCATAGACTTTTCACTGCACGTCAGACTCTGAATATGTATCTGCCACTGTGAAAAAGGTAGCCCGAGGGGGGAAAGACATAGAGAAAGGGAGAGAAAGTCACAGGTAAGGAAAGGGTTAATTGGGAGGTAGTGTGAATATGGAACGGCAAGTGAGACAAACTCTTGAATGAGCACAAGTTAAAGGGAGAATAGGAGAGAAAGAAGAAAAGCGGAAAACAGGAAGGATGTTGCAATTGAACACAATGTCCTCCCAGGAGACTTATACCCTAAGGGAATACTATGATCACTGCTATGTGTGTGTGAGTGTGTCACAGTAGGTGGTGTCTGTATGAACTATCAGACAGTTTATTTATGACGGCTCCCCGCTGACGGTTACAGAAACGGAGAACAACCTGCTTACAACTCTGAGCTTTTCTGTTCCACCACCATGCAGTCACTCTCTTCTCACCTTTGGCTCTCTTAGATAAAGTGTGTTTGTTTACATGCACACACAATACTTAGACCAATAGCTACAAGCCTGGTTTAGGTAATATGTTGAAACAAGTGCTTTACGTGTATCTTCATGTTCATATCACAAATTATTCCTTTTACTCAGCAGGTATTTTTGATTCAGTTGTATAAAATGTCTATAAGAAGTGTCTTTACCTTAAGTTTCTGTAATGCAGATTTGAACTATTTTCACTTGCAGGACAGATCAAATTTCATTCAGCTGGCTCTGAGTTCTCTACTGTAAATGTCAGTAGGCATCCGCCTTCAACTCACAGGTTTTGAAAGTCAAGGCGCTATGTGACATTCTCTAGACGCTGTTATTTGCAGACTCAAGAGGCCATGAAATTAAGTTCTGACCACTAGGGGGTAGAAAAATGACAACTCATAGCAGCTTAGACTTGATACAGTCCTTGATAAAAAATGTTATGGCAATTATATGTAAGCAAATAGTAATAGAGAAATAGAGCAACATTTACCACCTGTTGAATGTACAGTAAGTCCAGTGTTGCTGCTGTTGCAGTTATTGCAGGTCTAATGAACCAAAATATTTTAATAAAATACAGTGGTGTGTTGATTCTTTGTGAGGTTAGCATATTCTTATATATTAAAGGAAATATATATATATATAATAGATATATATATTTTCTTTATGAATTCAAAAACCCCAGACATCCTTGGACATACCTTGAATACTTAACAACAAAACATTGCTTTTTCACATAAAAATCTTCTCCCAACTTTATATTGTTTTAAAAAATATGCACTGAATGGAAAAATAGGCAAATTTGATCCCATTCAGGTGCCAGTTTCTTTGGTGTCTTTAGTGCATTCTGTCCAATCAGGGGTATTGAGAGCATGTGAGAGGTGGGCATTGTGTAATCGATTGGGAATACTCTGCTCATGGCATGGTAAAATGGGGGAATGAGAGAGTGGAATGAAAAGTGTTTTATTCAATTTCAGCTTGCCAGGACTTACCGAAACTGTTGTGTCGGTTGCCTGGTAACTGTAATGCTCGGAGATACAAGTGCAGAGAGTGTAGTGAATAAGACTCCCACCATTTTTCTCTTTTCTTTGCTGCTTGTGTTCTCTCGTTCTCTCTCTCTCTCCCTCTTTCTCTCTACTCAGCTGTTGGTACAAGTGAATAGTTGTAAAAAAAAAAAAAAACCCATATAATATGTTTTTTCCATCTTTCATTTTCAGGATCTGTCTTTTTTCATGGGCATTGACTGGGAGAGATCACAGAGCCACAGTTGTGACAGGGAACTCATACCTTGACAGCAGGGATGAAAGGCTGGAATACAGCGAGGTCAGACTTGCCGAGGGAATATTTCACAAAGCCATCAGTCTCATGTAGAAAAAAGCAGTGTTGGTAGAGATGTGACATCCGCTGCCCTGTTTCTCTGTTGGTCCCTCTCCCTCTTGACCAGTGACACAGCAGCAAGGTGTGAAATTTCCACCGGCTATGTGCGGGTGCATGTGTGAGACAGCAATAGTGTGTGCTCACAAGAATGTTTTACTTATATAATTGTTTGTTCCTTTTTGTTCCTCTCTTATTTGCCCCCTGCGGTGTACCAATGAACATGATGCTGAAGACCAAAAATGTGTGAAAATGAAGGTTGAAAATTCACGCACAAAAAAAGACTCCCTCTCTCTTCCACTTTCTTACTTCCTCGCTCTGTCTATCTTGCACCTTGGCAAGCTGTGAAATAGTACTAACAAAACATAATCATCTCCATCAGCTACTGAAAATTGGCTTTCAGGATTTGATGAGGCACTCAAATATCAACAAAAACAAGATGTATGTGAGAGTCGAAAGAGTGGTCGGGCTCTTCAGTAGCTGGCTTGTATCTCTCGCTTTCAGTGAATTTACACCTATTTACATTATGTTGAGTAGCCAAAATGGGAAATTCTATATTTGTTGTGTACAAAGGGAGTGATTTATTAATCTGTAATTGAAAAGCAAGCACAATAATTTTTTATAATCTGCAGACTCCGGCACCTGCGGTTATATTCTCTTTGTTCCTTCTCTCTCGTTCTTTTCCAGGCGCTGTCTCTTAGAACTGTACAGGTTTTCGGGCTCACTGGAGGCGTTCCAATAGATCCATCAATTTGGCAAAGCAGTGTGTGTGAAGCATAAGAGTCATTCCCTCGGTATACACTCGCACATATACACAGACACGCATGCGCTAATAGACGATCTATGTTGATTATTTGGCTCTCTCTGTGTTTTTACCGGCAGTATGTCTCAGAGGTGACGCTCTTGCTGTTGGTTAGGTCCTCTGAGTCTTGGTTCCCTTTGTTTTTATATATTGGCCTATATGGTTTTCACCAAACTGTTCAGTGAACCCTCCCATATCATGGTATATTCTCTGCTAGATGACAGTCCTGTTTGTGCTTCCCCTCACTGATTACAGTGCTGTCAGTCACAATCTAATATGGTGCACCAGCGTGTGCATGCATGACTGTAGTCTGTTCTGAGCTCACACACACACACAAACACGGACAGACCATTACTTTCTGTATGCATACACATACAACTGAAGCCATTAGGTGTCAGCTAAAAACAAGATAATTAACTGTAAAATGTTCATAAAGTCTGTGCACTATAAATCAAATGAAGCACAGCATTGACTAATCAACAACATGATATCTACAGTATGCCCATATCCTTATGGGTCTTGCAAGCTCATTAAAAAGCGACGAGCTTCCTTGCATGATCTAGATGATGTGACGCGACTAATTAAAAGGTGCCACACTTTAAGGTCTCAATTTGCTGATGAGCTAAATCAGGACATTCTCTTTCAGGGTTGAACGATCTCAGCACTCATGATTGACATTCAAGATAAAGACAATGCTGTTTCTGCATATATACGCGACAGATACAGGCACTGTTCTTCTTGCAGTTATCTAATCAGTTGCTCTGTCTTCTGTCTTTGTTCTCTTTTCCTCTCTGTTTTCTGGCATCTGCCTCTCTTGCCGTTCATCCAACCCCTCTTGTCTACTTGGGGACTCCAGTGATGGCTTCAAAAGGCAAAGTTCGAGGTGAGTTATGGCTGTGTTTCCCTGCTGTGCCTCTAACTCAGCCTGACAGAACTAACAGCAGTAGAGTGAAACTGGATTTAGTTTTTTATTCCAGATAATTGACTGATGCTTCAGTTTGTTCTGAATTCTCTTGTTTTAATGTTTCTGTTTGCTTAATTCCCAAACAGTCACATTGTAATCTTTTGATGGAAGGTAGTTTTTAAATTGGCAGGGAGGTTTTTAAGGTTTTTTGTGATATAGCAATTTCAGCTTTTCTTTCAGCTTTCAAACGTGCTGTTTTGTTTTTATGGGATTTTAGTACGCATTGTTGACTCGTCATTACCAAGTCAGTGGAAAACGTGACTGACAAAATGGTTTGCTTGGCATCAGAATGTGTCTCCTGGTTTTAAAATGGCAGCATTCTCATATTATAAAGCTCGTCTTAGTGTGTTGATAGTGTTTTTCATTTTTGGCAGTAAATTATTCAAGCTCATAAACACTGAAGAGGACGGTCCGAGGTCATCAGATTAATAATTGAGTATTTAATTGTCTGATATTGCCCTTTACCATTGCCAGACTCTGGAAAGGTGGCAGTAAATTACAGTGATCAAAATCTTCTCCATCATTCCCTGTGTCTGCAGGATGGCTGTGAGAGTGGATTATAGATCAGAGAGAGTCAGAGAGGAGAGGCAGAGTGTTTATTTGAGAGGAGATAACCTGATTTCATTCAGCTGTGTGCTTCAGTAAATATGCCTCTCAAAACTACGAATTTAGTCAACCAGGACTGTAATCTCTTTCTGTTTAGTTACCATCTTTGGCTAATGATTATAGAAGCAAGGGCACATCCTGTGCAGAAATGACATCGGCTCAGAGACCCAAAACAAACTTGGCACAAATCGTTAATTGTATTAACAAATAATTGGTCAATTGTGATTATTGGTGGACGTGATAAAGTTATAACGCATTGTTATTAAAGAATCTGAGCCAAACTTAAAAATAAAGGTAAAGCACAATATGTGTTTGCATGTGGACTTAATATTTTGCAAATAATCAGAATAAGAGACAATCAGGGTAAAGATATCTCGCTTAAACACCTTGATCACAAGTGGCCCATCTAGACAAAAAAATGTATTTGTCGACAAATAAAAAAAGTGTAAATGATCTTTCCAATTACTTTCTGTTTTTAGAAAATCTATATTCTTTCTGCACATGCTCATCCAATGGAGTCTAAAGTGTTCCCCTGGGAAGACGCACCACACTCTCCTCCATTGTTTGTCATTCATGAGCACTCTCCACCACTTTTCCGTGTGGTGCATTATTCCCAGGGGACCAGCATTTAAAAAAGGTATGTTAACTAGGATGATTCTAAATCCTAGTGGGTAGCTGGCCTTCTGTTTAATAACTGTAAAAACTGATAAAACTGTTGCTTTTGTACAGAGAAACAACACTAAACCTACACAGGTAGTCTGTATTTGAAGTCCTTGAAGCAAGGTTCGTTGTTTTCAAAGGGCTGACTGTTGTGGGGTAATAGATTTAGTATATTTATCATGTCAAAACCCTAGTCTCCCTTTTCTTCCTCCTCCTGCTTCTCATCCTCAGCAACATCAATGGTAATAACAGCATCAACATCACACGTTTCCCCTTTACACTTAACTATGCAGGGTTTCCTCTTTTTCCTGCTGCATCTGAATGCGTAACTCATTTTAATTCTCACTCTCCAGGACCAACATCCAGCTGCATGTGTTTGACTGTAAGGTCTCCGTCTCATTCACTGTTGACCCCCTCCTCTCTTTAAAGGCCACTCTTACCTGGCTGTCATCCTTTTCTATCTTACTGTGACAGTATAGAAAATCCATTGCACTCTTAATAGGGGAACAGAGGGTGTGTAGATCAGAGTCAAGCACATGTCTCCCTCCTGCCTCTCTCGCCATTATAATGAGGCTGTTGGTAGGAAAACATAACAAGCCAGATAAGATTCATGCTGATCAGTGGGCAGATAAAGGCTCAGTTCACCTCAAAGCACTAGTTCACCAGTTTGTGTGTGTATGTGACAGAGACATATGTATGTGACTGAAGGACTGAGTGACTGGTAAAGGGTTCCTATTGCATATAGTCATTTGTATATGTGTATATAGTGCAGCCAATCACTGTATACAGCACCAGAGATTAATTTCCATTTATTTACTTTTTTTACCGGCAAAAGATTAAATCAGGGTTATTTTTAGAAAATGTGACAACATAATGGTGTCACTGTCAAGAGTGTAAATGAATATGAAAAAGGACCTTATTAAACATAACTCACATATATGGCACGGCAATTGTGGGCACAAAACACGCAGTTTCTAGTTACCTTTACCCTGTGTCTGTGAAATCACTCACAATTCAAATCTATGCATGTTATTTATAGTCAGTGTTACTCAGAGTGTATTGAAGTGTGTGTCACATGCAAAGCTCCTGATACCAAATAAAGGTTGTATAGTAGTACTACTTCGACTCAGTCTGACATTCATACAAAATATTTACCCCACCAACTGTTCCAGGAACATTAGAAGCATATTGGTGGGACATTTTGAGTGTTAGTAATGTCAAACTTTGTATATCTTTGTATATATATATATATTCCTTGTCGTACTTTAATTTGAAGGATATTCATACACAAAGTTTGGGAACAGCTGTTCTCATAATGCTTTGAAGTACAATGCTGCCATGGATTCAGTGAGTTTAGCCCTTATTTGTTTACTCTTTTAGTAAATTGGTACTGTTAAAAGAAGGGTGGAGCCTAATCTTTGGGGATCTGGAGGCATGCTCCCCCATGGAAATTTTTTTCCCAATTCCCAACCTGTATACTTTGTTTTTCAAGCCATTTGAGATAATAGAACGGCAAAAAAACTATACATCGTTTGGAAGAAAAATTATAGTTTTCCTGCCCAGGAAAACTACCATCCTGTAGAGCCTTTTTGTAATCTTGTATCTAATTGTTCTCCAGCCGGAATTCGGTGTAACTAATCTTGAAATCTATTTTTGTTAAACTAGTTGAGTATACAGAATGTAAAATAATAATGTTTTTTTTAGGATTTGGGTCTTTGGGGCCCCAGAAGCCACCCCCGCTCAGCCCCTGGTTAAAAGCGTGCCAAATTATAAATTATAAGGAGGATTTATGGACATTTATTCATGGACATTGAATTAAGTGACATTAAGATAGTTGAGTGCCCTCAAATTATGCACTCAAATGTACTCTGGGGTTAGACCAGTCTTAGCTGAACTTTGAGACAAGATCTTCTGTGTCAACCCTGTCACTGTGGGCCCTGACTGGAAGTTATGGTAAAAGAGCTTTGCAGCAAACTAAGTCTGACACACAAGCCAAATGATAAGAGCTGTTTTTAAAACTAGCCCTGTTTGCTCACTGAATCCTGCAAATCTCCCCCCGGGGTGAGATGCATTTCCCCGGATCACTCTTAAATGAACAGTATCTGTCAACACATCACCACACATTAGAAAATCACACTGTGGCATGTTGATTTGGGGAATTTGGGAGTTTGGTGGCAGCAATGATTAGTCTGATTTCCCTCATGAATGACACCCTAGTCTGCGATCATCCCGTTTTCACCCCATGTGAAAGCATAAGAAATGAGCGCATATCTCTTTCCCATCAGTTTGAGAAAACTTCAATAGCGACAATAAATCTGACTTCCCTGACCTTTTGCTTTTTTACGACATTTAATTTACAAAACTTACTAAGCCAGAAAGCGTGTGGATGACTGCTAATATTGCTTTGCCACTGCTTGGCCATATATTTAAAAAGGGAATAGAGTGGAATATTTTAGGCTTTAGATATGCTGTATGTAGCCAAAGCTTTGCCTTCTGTGTCCTTGAAATAGAACAGATGACACTGGGATTTTGTTAATTCTAAAAAAGGATGAACCGAAAATAACATTTAGTGTATATTGCTCTGCTCACTTTCAGCCAGCACTTCTCACTGGTAACACACACTACCCAAACTTACATGTAGCACATACACAAGTGATTATGTACAAAGGCAAACACAAGCACACAGGCAAACACTTTATACCCGTGTACGTTTTATGCATAAATCAGGACAGCATAATTTAAATGCCTGTTTCTGCTACACATGCCTGCTGAACATCTCTGTTAATGCAACTATGTGAGAAACCGGTCCTCTTTGGCTAGAGGGAAGCATTTAAGATGTTGTTCTTTTGTTTTTGCATTTGCCTCAGTTGTTTGCACCCTACACCTCCTTCCCCGCTTTCACTTATCTGTCAAAATGTGTACTTCTGTCCTAACCTAACTCACCTTTGCTCTCAGCTTCTTCTGCTCGCTTTTGCCAGCTGGAAGAAAGCAGTGTATGAAGTATTTATGAAGGCCAGGTTTACCTCTGTCATAAAACCATGAGATGTCTGCCCTTGGCTCAGAAAGGATAGTGAGATCTCTAGCCATTCTGGACTGAGCGAGCCTGAACTCAAGCAGCTTACACACAGAGAATGGGCAGAGGTTTATATCGCTGCCCTTTAAATTGATGTGGCTGAATCAAGGGCAGGGATACTGGGCAAATGATACTGTGTCTGGTCACCAAGTTGAAATTAGTGTGTGGGCTTTTAGAAATGATGATATAGGATTTGCTCCTACATAACACTGAAGTTCAGCAGTGGCAGTTTTTTCTCAGCAAAAACTATGGTGCTATCATAGGAGAAAATCTTCATGGATGTTTTGTCTCTACCTTGACAACGACTGTTTACACATTTCACATCTCAGATGCTGAACATCCTCCACCTATCTGAAAAACAAGCCAAAACGACATCCCACTCTGACGGCGTGTAATTCATACCCAACTGTCCTCTCTCTGTCATTGCATGCTACGCTTAAGGAACCCCTAATAGCACCATGGAGAAGTAGGTGATATTTTGTTGATCTGACTCCAGGGGTTGAGTTGGACGTCAAGTTTGTGATGGCAGCACCAACAGCTGCCCAGTCTAATTACTGTATGTAAATGACAACGGCACTGC